CGTGTCGGTAGAGTTGCGTGGTCCACTGGCTTCGTGACAATGACGCGCCACCACTGCATGGCGGGTCCTCGCAGCAGCGATACGGCGTAGCGAATCTTCGCCGAATCCTCCGAGACGTAGTTCGCGTCGAAGAACACGTTCATGGTGAATAACCACGCTTGAACTATAGGACCACCCCTTTGACTCGGGTCAAAGCAAGGGGGACGCTACGGCTTTAGAGGCATTGGCGACGGTAGGGCTGACTCATCGGTCGGCACCAAAATCGTGACGTGAGGTTGGCTTCTGGCCGAATTCGTCGCTTCGGGATGTGTCGTGCCTGTCAGAATCCCAACCACTAGACCATTGGGATAAAAGGGCTTGTTAAGTAGCGGGTCAGTGCGCCCATAACCCCCCATGCCAACGTGCCTGTAACCCTTCCCTAGGATCAATCGGGGATCTCCAGTGGACCTCTGAAACCCCCCCGCACTGAGATGCCCGAGGTGCACACACTAGGATTCGAACCCGAGACCTTCGCTCTGATACCATGTCAGAATCCCAACCACTAGACCATTGGGATAAAAGGGCTTGTTAAGTAGTGGGTCAGTGCGCTCATAACCCCCCAGGCCAACGTGCCTGTAACCCTTCCTTATGATCAATCGGGGATCTTCAGTGGACCTCTGACAGTGCTGTGGTCGTCGTCGCGGGCGACGCCATCACTAGCTGCGCTCGATGGTTGCCTCACACTTCCGTGTTGTGATGCCTGACGTGCGGGTTGTCCGTGCGTGCCTTGTGTCTGTGACTGTGCTTGTTGTGCTCGTGCGACGTCATTATGCAGGGACGTGCGTTTTTCAGTCAGCGCCGCGATTTCTTCGGAGTTTTCGCGTAGTTGCTGCAGCAATTCATTCAGACGCTCCTGCGTGAGGCTCGTGACGTTGATGTGTTCGGCCATGTAGAAGGACGACGGCTCGTCTTAGCTCTAGGCGTAGTCGTGGCTGCACGCGTTTACGAGAGAACGCGAGAACAGCGGCTCCTAAAGGATAAGGGGCGTGAGTCCCATCGAGTGCAAAAATCTGGAGTTGATTTCTCTGTGTGCGGAGATGCGCGGTCCGAAAGAAAGACGCTCCGAATACCAAGTGTTACGGGTGCAATGGAACGAGAGCGAGATTCCACCAGGTGTCAAACGAGTACCAAGTATGAGCGAAGGCATGAGCGGATACTTTTACGCGAAACATGCAAACGATAACGCGGTGCGTGCATGGCTGACGATTCAAATATGGGTACCCTGTTTTCAATCCCCCAAAAAGAGATTTACCCTGAAGGCACATTTTCCGCATAACGCCAAGCCTGAGCCTTCTTGCGATGTTCAGGGTTCACGAAATCGTAAGTCTGGGCTGTCAGGGTTGGCGAATTGAAATCAGGGTTGATTTTTTTCTTCTTTCTAGTTTGGCGAGAAAAACAGTGACGTGTTTGACGCGAGAAATCTAGCTGGATTGGCGGATTGGCTGGAGGGAGTGCATGTGGCGTGGGAGGATCTCCTAGGGGCGCAAGGGCGAGAGCGAGGGGTGTGCAAAGGGGGAGGGAGCAAGTGAGCGGGGTGGGTGGGGGCTATTTCGTGACCGCGGGTCGTCCGCACAAGAGGGGGAGAAGGGGGGGAGGAAATGGGGGAACGGGCTGCTCATGGGAGGGGTGTCGAGACTCGACCTGGTTTTGGTGGGGGGAGACGTTTTTCAATATTAGTCTCTCGTTTAGTTTCACACTTATTATAATTTACACATGTCTTTTTCTCAAAAGTTAACGAAAAACAGCTGATGACTATAAATTATCAGTTACATGGCAATACGGTGTTTCACTACGGATGCTTTTTTTTAATCTCCTGCCGAATCACTTTGCGATCCGCCAGATCGCGATTTGTTTCTCGGTTTAAGTTTATAGCCAACAAAAATCAGAAACTGAAGTTTTAGTAATTCTAACAGAAACGTAGTGTACTGCGATAACCTGGATAGCGCGCATGGAGTCCCTGAGATGGGTGCAAGCGTAATCATGATTACGCACAAGGGGGTTATCGGGACGAAGTTTCCTAGAAGCTTCGTCTCGATAGCGTTGCATTCAGGGTCAACAAGACGCATACTCTTGTCGAAATATTTTGTCATGTTTTATAATTGCTTGTAGTTGTAGTTAGTGTAGTTATGTAAACTTTTGTTGGTGGTGCACCTTATTTTGTTTCTATGCTATATGTACCCCTGAACCTATAGTGAAACCACCTTTTCACCAATTTCCCTCTCAACTCACTCGACATTGCTCCTAGGGGAAAACCCGCTCGATACCTAAGTTAGGGCCTAGGCTACTAAGCCTAGGCCCCCGTTTCTACTCTTAATTTACTTAGACATTCGACATGTTATCGGAGCCGAGTGTTCGTCCTGGCCTGTGGGCCCACTTTACTTCCGCTGCTAAGATTTTACGGTCGCGCGCCTAGGGCGCGTGACGGTTTTATTTTTACCTTGTCCCGCCCACGGGCGTGTGACTCCTTCCCTGCCCGTCGCGCGCCCCGTGGCACGCGACGGTGCCCTTCTACTGCCCATCGTGCGCCCCGTGGCACACGATGGTGCCCTGCTCGTCGTGTGCCCCGAGGCACACGATCGGGCCCTTTTATGCTACCCGTCGTGCGCCCCGTGGCACTGGCCCGCGACGGGCCTTTCCGCCCCTGCACTCCCTGCTGCCGCCCCTGACCCATCTGCACCGACGCCTCTTCGCCGCTCTGCGGCTTTCTTCCTTCCCACCCCCCCCTTTCTCTTGTCTCCCTGCAGCCGTGGGGAGGAGGGTATGGGGGTGGAGGGTGTTGGAGCGTGGGGTCAACTCTCTCCCTTTCCCTCCTTCTTTCAGTCCCACCGCTGCAGCTGCCGCTGGGGGAGGAGGGTGTGAGGATGTGGGTGAGGAGGGGGAGTGGTACCGGGGTGGCGGGTGTGAGGCAACAAGCAGCCGTCCCTCCACCTCTCCTCTCTTCCCCCTTTCTCTGCTGCTTCTGCAGCAGTGTGGGGGAGGGGAAGGAGGAGGGTGAGGAGATGGTAGGGGTACCTGCTGTTGCTGTAACTACATACCTACCTACAAGCATTATGGGGGCGTGTCGAAATATTTTGTCATGTTTTATAATTGCTTGTAGTTGTAGTTAGTGTAGTTATGTAAACTTTTGTTGGTGGTGCACCTTATTTTGTTTCTATGCTATATGTACCCCTGAACCTATAGTGAAACCACCTTTTCACCAATTTCCCTCTCAACTCACTCGACATTGCTCCTAGGGGAAAACCCGCTCGATACCTAAGTTAGGGCCTAGGCTACTAAGCCTAGGCCCCCGTTTCTACTCTTAATTTACTTAGACATTCGACAACTCTGTATGGACAGGGTCCTTAAGAACACTACTCTGTGAGTGTATATAAAATTCCAGGGCTCGCTAAAGTACTACTCTGACAAGATCAGTGTTCAGAAGACGATAAACCTGAAATTACAGGGACCAGAATGTGACAAGTATGAAATCACCCTGAAATCAGGGTAATTACCCTGATAAAATCAGCCCTGGGTGCGTGCGATCTAGCTAGTGCTATGCTGACATTGAGGTTCGGGCTAGTCCCGAACCGAAGCGTAGGCCGATTCGGCTAGGCCAGCGGCGCATGGTTAGGTAAAACAGTTCGCGCGAAGTTGGCGAAGCTCCGTTAGCAGTAACGGGCGAACAACGGCTGCTGCTGTACGCGATGTTGACGGTCTCGGTGAGGAATGTGGAGAAAATTCCTTAAACTTATCAACCACTTCTACAAGGATGTACAGTGTAACTGTGTGACCTTATTCTGCATAGGGGTCCTCAATGCAGTGGCGTGAATCGCCGACAGCCAACCGTGCGTGGGTTGGCTCCCACCCATCACACCGCTGGCGAATCAATCACGGCCAAGGTGCGATTCCCTCTGCCACATGGCGTTCCTTGTGCTTTGAACATGCTTGTTTCTTTGCTCGCGCCGCTATGTGGGTTAAACCGAGCCGCGGATAGTGCATTCTGAATTTTGAGATTCTGCGCGCAGCCTTCAACACAACAGATATTGCCTCACCGACCACTCTCTCCGTCTCCTCTCGATTCTATGCTCTCCAGCCACTTGATCAGACCCAGCAACTCCATACTCAGTCACTGGGTCGCCTTGAGAGGATACTTCATGCTCGGTCTAGCCTAACTTCCTGGCAACACAGTCGCGTAGTTGGTCCTAATTCTTCCGCTTGAAGTCATGTGTATTCGTCAACTCTCGCTGCTCCTTCCCTTCACAGTTGTACTCCTCGCCACTCTCGTTTGCTCGACAGCTGGCACTCGGCGGCGCGAGTTGCGGAAGGCGCAGACAGCAGTGCCGCCCAACGCCACGCTCGTCCTGCTTGCGAACAACACGCTCGGCGCTAAATGCCTCGACGGAAGGTATTTCCTGCGTCTCAGCCGTTGGCAACGGATGTATATAGATTGCCAGCCGACCACGACGGAGGTTGCGGAAAGAGAATGCTCTGGCAGAGCAGAATTTGAGCACGCGCTCTGTCCGCCGCACCTGGTACTCGCGCGTTCAACATGAGTAGCCCCGCTGCTTGCTGAAGTGTGTATTGACAACTTCAAACAGAGCTGCTCATTGGAATCGGGTGATCGTGGAGAACACGATAGGCGATCGCAAGTAGACTATTGCCGACCTAGACTTCGGCCTCTCAACAGCGCGGCACTCCACTCGCGGGCTTTCGTGCATGCGGATTAGTACTGCCCACGGATTCCCGCCGCGGCCCAGTCACTGAGGCGCGATGGGGTTTACAGGCGGCGATGGAAGAGAGAGCCGGAGCGCCACTGATGTAGAGACGCCAGCTGGTTGCAAGAGATGGAAACGGATAATGACACTCGTAGTCTGCGATTTCCCTCACCCCTGCCAATCCCCTTCCAACTTTGCTCTGCGACTTACCGTCGGGCCTCGTCTCACCTCTGTGCCTGCTCGCCTATCTCTCTCATATTTCATCGCATGCGCGTTGTGGTGGCGCGGAGGGCCCATGGGCTCTCTAGCGGCTCGCTCACCCGCGGGGACTCCGCCACGCGCAGCAGCTGGTCGGCGCAGCCGCCACCTCCGCCTTCGACCCGCCCCGAAGCCTCTTAACACCCATCCCCCACCTTTCCTCCCCCTTCGGCCCGCGCAGTCCCCCAGGGTACTACTTCCGCCCCGGCGCGGCAGCGGGTCGTCTGCGGTGGCACATCTACCTGCCCGGGGGAGCGTGGTGCGTCACCCCCGCCGACTGCGCCGCCAGAGCCGGCACGCGCCTGGGATCCAGCAAGAGCTTCCCCGCCAACCCCGCGCACTACGTGAGACCCCTGGACCCCGCCAGTCATATGTGTAGCTGCCTGCCACACGGTGGGCCCCTGTGGTCCTTCGAACATGGGGAGCGTTCGAACAGAGGGGGCGTTCGAACAGGGGGGGCGTTCGAACAGGGGGGGCGTTCGAACAGGGGGGGCGTTCGAACCTTCTCTTTCGACCTTTTGAAATCCGAAATTGGTGCAAGTATCCCCATCCCCATTCCGCCACGCACATCCCCCCATCCCCATTCCACCACGCACATCCCCCCATCCCCATTCCGCCACGCACATCCCCCCATCTCCGCATTCCGCCACGCACATCCCCCCCTCACGGCATGCCATCGTCCGATACCCCTTAGAACGCGTACCCCTCACTATCTCCTTTTGAGTCGACTCAAAAGAAGGCCCCTTAGAACGCGTACCCCTCACTATCTCCTCCTCACCCTCCTCTGCCCTGCACCCCTATCCCCCTACCCCCCTACCCCCATATCCCCCTACCCTTTTTCCGCATCCTCCCCCCTCCCCGCACTACTGCAGGCGGCGCAGCTGAGGCCGCCGTTCGAGGGCATTCTGTCGGGCAGCGCGCAGCAGAACCCGGCGCTGTACCAGTGGAACCTGGTGCGCCTCATCTACTGCGACGGCGGTGGGTACGCCGGCACCAGGGGCGCCCTCAACGTCTCCCTCGCCTCCCCTGCTGCTGCCGCCCCTCGCAATGCAAGCTCGGCTGCCAACTCCACGGGGTCAACCAAGTCATCCGCGCCGTCCACGGCAGCCATCTACCTGGACGGGTGGAACATCATTCAGGCGGTCATTGCAGGTGCTGCGCCACCCCCTCGCCCTCGCCACTGTGCTCTCCGTGTGCCCCCTTGGCTGTGCGCAGTGCCTTGTGGCTCACAGTGACGTGGCACCATCCACTCACCACCCGCTCTCCCTCTCTTCCTTTTTGCCCCGCCGTGCCCTCGTCCGTCCTCTCCCTTCCTCTCACCTCTATCGTTTCGCCTCTCCTCCCTTGACTCACTGCTGCCGGCTCCACCTCCCCTCCTCTCTTCTCTCTCCCTCCTGTCTCCTTGCTCTCTTTCCTCAGCTCCTCGCCTCCTCACCTCCTCGCCTCCTCATCTCCTCGCCTCCTCGCCTCATCGCTTCCTCGCCTCCTCGTCTCCTCACCTCGCCCCTCTTGCCATGCAGACCTCGTGCAGAAGCGCAAGATGCGCTCAGCCTCACAGGTTCTGCTTTCGGGCAGCTCAGCGGGTGGGCAGGCGACAGTGAACCTTTGTGATTGGTTGGCGTCGTCCTTCCCGTCCGCTTCCACGCGCTGCCTCGTTGACTCGGGCTTCTTCCTTGGTATGCCCACGCCGTTAGATGTTTTTCTGCATGAGCTGTGAAACACAGTTCTATGTGCTCTTCAATTTAAAGTGTGGCTTCCAGGTGAGAAGAGCGAAGCCTGCAACTCTAATGTGAAGTGTCTGGTAGCTTCAGTGTTTTGCTGAAGGGACGCTGTTCACCTTGTGCACCACTCAAAGCGCCTTCCTGTCACTTGTCTCTCCACCTCTTTCTCCCTCTGTGAAGCAAACCCCTCACCCCATCAACCCTCTCTCGTGCAACCCCCTCCACCCATCAACCCCGCCCCCCTTCCCTGCCACAGACACGCGTGACCGCGCAATGAACTACACCTTTCGCTCGCTAGCTCAGAACCTCACCGCACTGCACCGCCCCTCCAACCCCACCTGCCCTTATGGTACCTCATCTGCTCCCATGCTACCTCATCTGCTCCCATGCTACCTCATCTGCTCCCATGCTACCTCATCTGCTCCCATGCTACCTCATCTGCTCCCATGCTACCTCATCTGCTCCCATGCTACCTCATCTGCTCCCATGCTACCTCATCTGCTCCCATGCTACCTCATCTGCTCCCATGCTACCTCATCTGCTCCCATGCTACCTCATCTGCTCCCATGCTACCTCATCTGCTCCCATGCTACCTCATCTGCTCCCATGCTACCTCATCTGCTCCCATGCTACCTCATCTGCTCCCATGCTACCTCATCTGCTCCCATGCTACCTCATCTGCTCCCATGCTACCTCATCTGCTCCCATGCTACCTCATCTGCTCCCATGCTACCTCATCTGCTCCCATGCTACCTCATCTGCTCCCATGCTACCTCATCTGCTCCCATGCTACCTCATCTGCTCCCATGCTACCTCATCTGCTCCCATGCTACCTCATCTGCTCCCATGCTACCTCATCTGCTCCCATGCTACCTCATCTGCTCCCATGCTACCTCATCTGCTCCCATGCTACCTCATCTGCTCCCATGCTACCTCATCTGCTTCCATGCTACCTCATCTGCTCCCTTGCTACCTCATCTAATTTCATGATACCCCGACCCTCCATTTCCCTCTCCCCGATGCAGCAGCGAGGCCGGCACAGCTGTGGCGGTGCTTCTTCCCGCAGTACACTCTCCACAACACATGCACGCCACTCTTCCTCTTCCACACGCCCTTTGACTACGTAGCAGCCATGATCGGCAACCTGCTGCCTAGTAACAGCACCTACGCGATCAGCTGCCTAAGGGAGATGATCAACAGCCAAAAGAATCTCTCAAGCATTGTGAGGAACAAGGCGTGGAGCAGCATAAGGTGGAATGCAAGCTCTGCATGCTCGCAGACTGAGCGTGAAACATTATTCTGGACAGCATTTGGGCTGTACGACCAAGTGAAGGTGCTTTCGCTGGAAAGGTCATCTATAGGAGCTTTCATTCCATTTTCTTACGTGCATTCTGCCATTACGAATTCTTATTGGAATATGCCATGGATAAATGGTACGTCGCTATCAAATGTTTTCAATGTATGGTCGAGCATTGTGCTCCAAAACATTTCCATCATAGTATCTCAATGATGTTACTGAAACCTTGTGGGTGATACAGTGGTATTGTACTGTTTGTGTCGTGCGTTCGAGAGTGCAGAATGAATCAATACCTGTACTCAGTGGATATATTTTTCATCGGAATAGAAGACCCTTGGCTTGGCTATGATACGGGGGTGGGTGTACGTATAATCATTCTGAATTACATGGTACATTTTAGCATCATCCTGAGATTTCAGGGCAAGCTCCTGACAATATCCTGAAATCAGGGCAATCTGGATGTTATCAAGGGCCCAGGAATAAGAGCAAGGGTTGCATTTAGTGAGGGCATGACATGGCATGCTATGAAGACCTACGGTAAGGTATGGGGGGGGGATGAGATGGGAATGCACGAGGATGAGGTGGATAAGAATGCAAGGGAGTGGGATGAGTTATCATGAACCAGGAGGGAAGGGAGCATGGAATGAGGAGAGAAGGGAGCATGGGATGAGGAGAGAAGGGAGCTGAGAAAATGAGAACGAGAATGAATGAACTATGAAATAGTTGGGTACAAGTACTAACCCTAATTGGGTTGTACCCCATATGGGCTACCCCACTACAGCCTACACAAAGGCATAAGCTATAATGTTCTGACACACCCCCATAGGCAAAGTGGGGGAGAATAAGCGGTCACAAGACCAGCCAAGCAAAGCAAAGCAAAGCAAGCTCAGGGTGGATCACAAAGTCACCACACATTCCGAGCACAAGTTCAAGGCCACAAGGCCAGTTCACATGCATGAGTACATATATATAGAAAGCTAGACAAGCAAGAGCAGGTGTATATATATGTAACAGTACAAGCAAGGTCAAGAGGTGAGCAAGTGAGGCAAGACAGGCACAAGACCAAGCTGAGTACAGAAGCGCTGATGATCACAAGGCGCAAATGCCTTGGTGAAGATATCAGCAGTGTTGGCCTCAGAGGCCACGTGCGCAAGACGCAACTGACCACGCTGCTGCAGCTCACGAGCAAGGAAGTAGCGAAGAGCAATGTGCTTCGTTCTGTGCTCCAGTCTCTGCTCTCGACACAAGGCCAGCATGGCCTTGTTGTCTACGTACAGCACTGGAGGAGAACGAGGCGGCTCTCCGAGGTCAGTCAGCAGGTAGGTGAGCCAGCGAAGCTCCTGTGCAGCCATGGCCCCGGCGTAGATCTCAGCCTCACAACTGGAGCCGAGAACAGAAGACGAGCAGGTAGCCCGCCACGAAACAGAGCCGGAACCAAGGCTGAAGGTGTAACCCTGTGACGACCGCTGCGTAGCCTGGTCGTCTGCCCAAGAAGCGTCTGCGTGCCCAGTGAGGACCACTGGACTCCGCCCTCCAAGCACTAGCCCCATGCCCGACGTACTGCACAAGTAGCGCAACACCCTCTTCGCTGCAACCATGTGCTCTGGTCTGTGTCTCCCAGGAGCAACATAGCGTGCAAGAATGCTAAGAGGGTATGCAAGGTCAGGTCGTGTGCAAATCATCAGGTACATGAGGCAGCCAACAAGCTCTGGGTACGGGCCACTCGGCTCTACGGACTCATCCGAAGGCAGAGCTGAGAGCGAGTGGCGAGTAGGCAGAGGAGTGGCCTGAGGCGAGGAGTACGTGAAGCCGAAGCGCTGAAGGACCTGCTGCACCATGTGTGACTGAGTCAGGGTAATGGTGCGGCGTGCTCTGTCCCGGGTGATCTGCAAGCCAAGGTAGCTGCGCAGTTCACCCAGGTCTGTGCACGTGTGTCTCTTCTGCAGCTCGGACTTCACGTGGGCGAGTCCAGCAGTGTCAGCTGTGGCAAAGACCAAGTCGTCGACGTACACGAGGATGTAGAATGTGAAAATTAGAATGAAAGAAGAGGGATTGCACTAGCAAGAATGGGGATACAAATAGCAAACCCTAGAAGGGTTGTACCCGCTATAGAGCACCCCACTACAGGCTAGAGCATAAGATAACATTCTGACACACCCCCATAGCCAAAGTGGGGTGTAATCAGCAGAGCAAGCAAAGCAGTACAAGCTCAGGGTGGATCACAATGTCACCACACATTCTGAGCACAAGTTCAAGAAGCAATAGTTTAAAGGGTACAATTATGAGCAAAGCTAGTGGTAGTCACAACGGGCAAGCGAGGAGGAGGAGAGAGAGTGAGAGGAGAGGAGATAGGAGGCGACGGCTGAAGCTGCAGACACACGGGCAACAGGAGGCAGACTAGCACAGCGGCTACCGGACAAAGTCTCCGGAATACAGGAGTAACAGGCCCCGCGGCTAAAGTAGCAGCAGACGAGCAACGGACCCACGGGCGGCTGGCACAGCTGGCTACGACTGGGCTACCGAACGAAGTCCCCGGAATACAGGTGCTGCTGGCGACACGACGGCAACCTCCATACAGCTTCCCCAAACTATCCCACTCCCCCCCTGGCACACACCCGCTGCTACACCGCTAGGTCCACTCCCACGCACCCCCCTTAAACCCTAAACCCCAGTCTCCCACACATCCACCCCCCTCAGCGACAGCTGCAGCAGTGGGAGACAAAGGAGGAGGAGGAGCAAAGGGAGGAATGCAGAAGTGCCACCCCCATACTCGCCACCCCCTACTCGCCACTCCCCAAACCCTAACACAGGCAGGGCGGGATGGCGGGTAGGGAGGTTACGGGGGAGGGGGGGGGGGGGGGGGGGGGGGAACCGACGCGCGGCCTCCCAGGGCGCCAAGACAGGCAGCAGAAGGGGCGGCGCTCGCCCCCCTCCCCGAGGTAAGTCCTCCCGCAAGCGGCCCCCGAGGGTCGCCTCGACAGGCGACGGGAAAAGGGGCCGCAGGCGGGGCCGGGGCCGGGGCGCAGGTAGGGCGATGGGGCCGGGGCGCAGGTAGGGCGTCGGGGCCGGGGCCGCAGGCGGGGCCGGGGCCGGGGCGCAGGTAGGGCGACGGGGCCGAGGCGCGTGCCCTCGGTGCGCCGCGACGGGTCCCCGTCGCCCATCGCGGCGCCTCCAGAGGGTGACGCGGCGAACGACGGGGCAGAAGCCCGCCGCGCACCTCGGGGCGCACGGCGGGCAGAAAACCGCCGCGCGCCTCGGGGCGCACGGCGGGAAGAAAAAGTGCCGCATGCCAGGGGGCGTGCGGCTCAAAGAGTAGTGAAAGGTAGTTGCAGCGGAAGCGAGGAGGTGGTAACCCACCCATAGGATCGATCCAAGGGGATCGACCTCCTCTAATAGCATGTGAAAATTAGAATGAAAGAAGAGGGATTGCACTAGCAAGAATGGGGATACAAATAGCAAACCCTAGAAGGGTTGTACTCGCTATAGAGCACCCCACTACAGGCTAGAGCATAAGATAACATTCTGACATAGAACGGCGGCAGAGAGGTGTCGGTGCGTAGAAACACCGACGGGTCAGCAGTAGAGGGAGCAAACCCAAGAGCCGCAAGTGTAGTCCTTAGTGTGTCGTGCCACTCGCGCGGTGCCTGGCGGAGACCGTAGAATGGCCGTCGGAGGCTCCACTGGGTGCCAGGAGGGAAAGTCCCAGTGAAGCCAGGTGGACGGCGCAACCAGATCTCCTCGTGCAGGCTACCCTGCAGGAAAGCAGTGCTGAAGTTAAGGGAGTGAAGTTCGTAGTCACGCTGACCGGCTACGTGTAGCAGCACCCGAAGAGTGGTCATCTTCGGGGTGGGAGAGAAGGTCTGAAAGTAGTCAACTCCCTGCCGCTGACTGAAGCCACGAGCCACGTACCGCGCCTTGAAGACAGGTGGAGAGCCCGGCGGCCGCTTCACCCTGAAGATCCACATGCCACTGACGATGTTCGCCCCAGGAGGGGGAACCGCGTCAACGTAGGTGCCTGTGGACTTCCAGGAAGCCATCTCTGCATCAATAGCCGCCTGCCACTGAGAGGAGTAGGGACCCTCTACAGCCTCCGCGTAAGAGCGCGGAGTCGGGATGTCTAGTGCATCCGGGTCTCCCTCAGGGGTAAGCAGTACGGACGCGAGATGAGGTGAAGCAGCAGCCAGACACTGGAACTCCTCCTGCCTGTCCTCAAGGACGTCCGTGCCAAGAGCACACTCACCCCCAACGGACGGAGGACAGACAGACGCAGACTCAGCAACAAGACTAGCAGCGTAGTCTAGACGACAACGAGCAGCAAAGTCGACGAGCTCAGCAACAAGAGCAGACGCAGCAGTGGACTCAAAAGAAGGGTCAGTGACGACAGTAGCAAGGAGACGCGTGACATTAGGACTGGCAGCACGAAGAGAGTCCGACTCAGGGTCGGCAAGTACAGGAAGAGAGGACTCAGGAGGAGAGGGCAAGGGGGCACGCAGAGGAGCAGTGGACGGACGCAGAGACATCCGGTGCGTGCCAGGGACAGGAGGAGGACGCTGACGCGAACTGCGACCACTAGTGCGAGCAGCACGAACAGGCGACGCAGGACGAGACGCAGGCTCACGACGCTCAGCAAGACCTCCAGTAGGACCAGTGTACGGAGAAGGAGAAGGCAGTGGGGAGACCGGTGGTAACTGTGACTGCGACTGGACAGGCGGTGGACACTCTAAGGGAGGAGGAAGACCAAGAACCTGCTGAAGGAGCGGAACAAAGTACGGCCGAGGCCGCGTGGCAACTCCAGGCACAGCAGGGACAGCACCAGCACCCCCAGCAGCAGTACCAGCGTCAACAGCACCTCCAGCTTCAGTACCTCCAGCAGCACCAGTAGCACCCGCAGCAGGACCGCCGCCAAGACTGACAGCAGTAGCCTCCGCGCCAACGCCCTCAGCAGCTCTGACTCCATACCTGGGACACACCTGAAGGGGCAGGACCCTGAGGGGGGAGGGGGTCTACCGGGGGGGGACCTGGCACAAGGAAGTGCGGTGGCGGGGGGAGGGAAGGAGTGCGGTAGGGGAAGAGGCGGTAGTAGGGAACTGACTCGTCGAAAGTGACGTCCTGGGAGGACAGAACACGACGAGAGGTGGGGTGGTAGAACTGCCACCTTGGGGCGTCAGGGGGGAAGCCAAGGAAGACACAGGGAGCAGCACGAGGGGACAGCTTGTCCGCAGACAAGTCGCAGACAAACGCGCGAGATCCCCAGACACGGAACGCAGACGCATCACCGACCTTCCCCGTCCACAGCAAGGCTGGGGAGGTCTCCGGTCTGGAGACCCTGGGGTGAAGGTTGATCTGATGCGCCGCGTACTGAACCGCAAACGGCCACAGAAAATGGGGGGCAGCCGCATGCATCATGGACGTACGAGCGACGTCCATGACCATGCCAATGCGGCGCTCAGCAATCCCATTTTGCTGTGGAGAGTCCGGAAGCGTGAAGGTCTGGCGGATGCCTCGCGCACGACAGTAGGCTCGCAGAAGGCCAGAGGAGAACTCTCCGCCTCGGTCAGAGTGCAGACGCAGAACAGGAAAGTCCGAGCCGAAGCTCCTCCTGAGCTGGAGACGAGCTGCGCGGATCCAGTCGATCAACACCTCAGCGACATCACCCTTGCTGCGCAAGGGGAAGACTGTGGTGTAACGCGAGTAGTCGTCAACCACCAGCAGGAAGTAGCGCTCGTGACCCTGTCCACGGACGCGGGCCGGGCCCCACACGTCCATGTGAAGCGTCTGCAGCGGGGCCTCTGTCGGGGGAAACTGAGAGGAGTGAGGGGCAGCTCGGAGCCGCCCCTCGACACAGGGGACACAGGAAGGACCAGGCCCCGGAGGAAGGGGAGGGAGGGACCGGGGAAGACCAGAGACAAAGACACGGGAAGCCATGCCTCGGAGACGAGGCAAGGAGGGGTGACCAAGACGGTGGTGCCAGAGGAGAGTCTCGTGAGACAGGAGGCAACACGAGCAGGGGGCAGACTCAGGACCAGATTTGGACGCTGCAGCAAACACCTGACCCGACGCAGCTACCTGACCAGACGCAGTGACTGGAGGAGACTCAGTGGTCTGTGTGTACAGGCTCGACCCCGGCCGACGTGTAAACGTGGCCAGGTGTCGGCCTGTCCGAGCGTCCGTGCAGTGGGTCACCCGCTGACTCGCAGGAGTGAACTGGTGAACCCCCGTATCCTGCAGGTCAGCACCACTCACCAAGTTCGTAGAGAACGAGGGGAGGTAAAGACCAGACAAGGTGCCAGAGGGGGCAGCCAGACACGGGAGGACAGTGGAGAAGTGAGAGAGGACAGGACCCCCAGAGGGGTCTGCCAGGGAGACTGCAACTGGCCGACCAAGCGGCGTGAGTGTGGTGCGGTCTCGAAAGAAGGAGCGAGAAGCCCCTGAGTCAAGTGTGAAGGTGAGGGAGGCCGAAGCTGACGTGGTACCTGAGAGCGCAGACTCACCAGCACCTGAGGGCGCGGACGCACTGGCACCTAGAGCAGCAGCCTCACCAGTACCTAGAGCAGCAGTACCAATGCCCGGGTCAGGCGGGAAACACCGGTAACAGTCACCCTCATCACTAATAGTCACAGCATACATGGCAGCAAGGATAGCATCAAAGTCAAGATCAAAGATAGCTACGCCTGCCCTAGACAGCTCTCCCCAGCGGGGGATCTCACTAGCCTCCGGGAACTGCTCACGCCAAGCGTCCGTCAGGCGGCCAAAGCAGCGCTGGGTGGGGTGAGCACCCCCACACTGCTCACCCGTGCGGTCGCCGGAGCGGAGGACGTAGGTGCACGGGCCAAAACCCCCACCACGCTGACGCTGCGTGTACCACTCACGGAGCGGCTGAGGAGGGGGGATGTCCCGAGAACGCTGCTGCTGCTGCTTCTGCTGCTACTGCTGGCGCTGACCACTGCCGGAGCCGCTCCGCTGAGAAGTACCACCTCGACCAGCTCCACCTCCTCCACCAGCGCCGCCTCCACCTCCGCCGCCACCGCCGCCTCCGCTCCCACCGCTACCGCCACCGCCGCCTCCGCCTCCGCCGCTGCCACCGCCACCTCCACCCCCGGCACCACTCCCACCGCCACCCCCACTCCCTCCGCCGCCTCCACCGCCACCTCCACCACCCCCGCTAGCTCCACCCGCGCCCTTGCCCCCCTTGCCCTTGCCAGAGCGGCGTCTCCCGCTAGGGGCAGACGCCGCATCGACCGACTTAAGACCAAGTAGGTCGGCCGCAGCAGTAGAGGCGACAGAGGGCAACAGGGGGGAAGGGGAACACCCCTCAAAGATGGGGGTGCGAGGGTCACCACGAGAGGCTCCTACAGCGACTATGCTCTTCTCCGCTGCTAGGAGGGCCTTCTCTAGGAGGTCAACAGTGAGAGTGGTGGGACAGAGTGAGAGAAAGTGGTCCCTGACTACGCGAAGGGAGTCAGGGAGGCGGGTGACTATGTAATAGAGAGTGATGTACATGGGGGGGGGGGGGGTTCTTGGCGCAGAACTCAGCAGGCAGCGCGGCGCGGTAGCGAGTGTCACTAGTGCGGAGGTGCGTAATGAGGTCAGCAACTGTGGGAAATGCAGCAAGGTCAGGGAAGAGGTACGGTAGCATGAGGCGCCTCAGTGCAGCAGTGGCAGGGGAAGAGTAGCGCGCAACTACAGCGTCGTACAAGGTCTGAGCACTCTTGTACTGACTAAAGTGCGCGCGCTCAGTGGTAGGCAGGTGGCGATGCACAGCAAGACGTGCAGCAGCATCGCGGGTGGCCCACTGAGAGCGAACAGTGGGGTCAGCATCAGCAGCAAGGGCAGGAGAGGCGCCAGAGGTGAGGTCAAAGAGAGAAAGACCGTCCGCCCTATCGCACTGTAAGAACAGCTGCAGGTCGTCGACCCAGACCTCAAAGTCAATGGCTCGACCCTCAGCGTCAAAAGCGAGGACACTAGGGGTAGCCATGACGACGGTAGACTAGCAGTGCAAGCAGTAGGGGAAGGGCACGCAGTGACAGAGAGGCTGTGCTTACCGGATAGGGCTGCTCGGGCGGCTCAACTGTAGGGCGGCTCGGCGGCTGGGCGGCTCGGCTGCTGGGCGGCTCAGCGGCTCGGCTGCGGGGCGGCTCGGCTGCTGGGCGGCTCGGCGGCTGGGCGGCTCGGCTGCACGGCGGCTCGGCTGGTGGGCGGCCGGGCGGCTCGGCGGCAGGGCGGCTCGGCTCCTCTGGTACAGGGCGGCGCGGCGGTCGGCGGCTCGGGCGCGTTGCTGCAGGAGGGGAGAGCGGCGGGGCCGCAGCAGACGGGCGGCGGGACCCGTTGACGTAGGGCGGCGGGGTCGGTGAAGTAGGGCGGCGGGGCCCTTGAAGTAGGGCGGCGGGGCCCTTGAAGTAGGGCGGCGGGGCCGCAGGTGTAGGGCGGCGGGGCCGCAGCAGACGGGCGGCGGGGCCGCAGACGTAGGGCGGCGGGGCCGCTGAAGTAGAGCGGCGGGGCCCGTTGAAGAAGGGCGGCGGGGCCGCAAAGTGGGGCGGCGGGGCCGCGAAGTGGGGCGGCGGGGCCGCAGCAGACGGGCGGCGGGGCCGCTGAAGAAGGGCGGCGGGGCCGCGAAGTGGGGCGGCGGGGCCGCAGCAGACGGGCTGCGGGGCCGCTGAAGCAGGGCGGCGGGGCCGCGAAGTGGGGCTGCGGGGCTGCGAAGTGGGGCGGCGGGGCCGCTGAACAGGGCGGCGGGGCCGCGACGTAGAGCGGCGGGGCCGCGAAGTAGGGCGGCGGGGCCGCAGGAGTAGGGCGGCGAGGCCGCAGTTAGGGCGGCGGGGTCGCGACGTAGGGCGGCGGGGCCGCGAATGCGGGTGGCGTGGCCACGCTAGTAGGTGGCGGGGCCGCACGAACGGGCGACGGGGCCGCTAAGGTAGGGAGGGCCGCTAGGGCATAGGGGCCGCTAGGGCGGCTCGACGAGGTGAGAGCGCGACTCGGGCGGAGCGCGCTTCGGGCAGGAAAAAAAATTCGAAATTTGGTGGGCCCTAGGCACAGTTCCCACAGGGGAACCTGCTCGATACCATGAGAAAATGAGAACGAGAATGAATGAACTATGAAACAGTTGGGTACAAGTACTAACCCTAATTGGGTTGTACCCCATATGGGCTACCCCACTACAGCCTACACAAAGGCATAAGCTATAATGTTCTGACAGGAGCATGGGATGAGGACAGAAAGGAGCATAAGATGAGGACAGAAGGGAGCATGGGATGAGGACAGAAGGGAGCATGGGATGAGGACAGAAGGGAGCATGGGATGAGGACAGAACGGAGCATGGTCTTAGAATATAGGCATGGAATGGTCTCATAAGGTGAAGGTTGGGGTACAAAACTAGAGTGCCGAGAATGTTTCTGTACTCCCTAAGGCTAGCCCCAATATAGCCCAGATAATAATATGCATATGTTTTGACACACCTCCATACGCGAAATGGGGGATAGCCAGAGCAAGCAATGGTCACAAGACCAGTCAAGAGAAGAAACAAAACACAGCTCAGGGTGGATCACAACGTCACCATACACACTAAGCACAAGCAAACGGCTACAAGGCCAGTCCACATGCAGAGGTATATACGCAACAAGAACAGCAGAGTGATCTTTATCTAGCAAGAGCAAGCATGCCGGTATACATATATATATATATATATATATATAAAGATCACAGTACAAGCAGAGACTACAGCAAGTGTGGAAACGTAGGCACAAGACCCAACAAAGTACAAAAGCGCTGATGGTCACCAGACAAAAGTGCCTTGGTGAATATATCAGCAGTGTTGGCGGGAGTGGCCACGTGAGCAAGGCGAAGCTGATCTCGCAGCTGCAACTCTCGAGCCAGGAAGTAACGCAGAGAGATGTGCTTTGTTCTGTGCACCAGTCTGTGCTCCTGACACAAGGCAATGGCGGCCTTGTTGTCTACGTACAGAACTGGAGGAGAACGAGGCCGCTCTCCCAGGTCGGTTAGCAGGTAGGTGAGCCAGCGTAACTCCTGTGCAGCCATGGCTGTGGCATAGATCTCAGCCTCACAACTGGAGCTGAGAACAGAAGACGAGCGTGTAGACCGCCAAGAAACAGAACCGGAGCCAAGGCTGAAGGTGTAACCCTGTGACGACCGCTGTGTAGCCTGGTTGTCAACCCAAGAAGCGTCTGAGTGTCTAGTGAGGACAACTGAGCTCCGCCCTCCAAGCACGAGCCCCATGCCCGATGTAATGCACAAGTAGCACAGTACCCTCTTAGCAGCATCTATGTGCACCTTTCGGTGCAGACCAGGAGCCACGTAGCGAGCAAGAAGGCCAAGAGGGTACGCAAGGTCAGGACGAGTGCAGGTAATCAGGTACATGAGGCAGCCCACTAGCTCTGGGTAAGGACCACTTGGCTCTACGGACTCGTCCGAAGGTGGAGCTGAGAGCGAGTGACAGTAGGGTGAGCAGCACGGGTGCGGACAGACTCAGGCTCTGGAATGGCAGGCAGAGAAGACACAGGAGGGGACGGTAGGGGAACACGCTGTGGAGGAGAGGAAGGACGACAGACGACGAGGTGGGTGCCGGAGACTGCCGGCTGACGCGAACGAGGAACACGACGACCGGAACGACCAGAACGGACAAGCGAGACAGGACGCGACGCAGGCTCACGACGCTCAGTAAGACCTCCTGTCTGCTCAGGGTAAGGAAGAGCAAGCAGCGGTGAGCCAGGCTGCAACGGAAGACCAGTAGATGAAGGGAGACTAAGAACCTAGCGAAGCACAAAGTAAGACGGTGGCTGAGACGACGGAGACGGTGGAGCAAAGAACAGGCGCGGTTGTGCAGTGCTACCACCACCAGCAACTCCAGTACCCCCAGCAGCTCCAGCAGCTCCAGCAGCTCCGAAACCCTCAGCTCCAGCTCCTCCACGACCAGCTCCACCAGCACCAGGACCCCCAGAACCGGCACCTCCCGTCCAAGGGTCTCCAGTCTCAATGTCTCCAGCAGTAGCACCCTCAGGCTCAGCACCTCCAGCCCCAGCAGCTCCAGTACCTCCAGTACGAGCACCTCCGGGACCAGCACCACTCCCAGCTCCAGTGACGTCAGCAGAAGTACCTCCAGCGGCAGAGCCCCGAGCTCCCGAAGCGCGACCCTGACGGCGACCGTACCAGTCGTGCAGCTGGTGTGAGGTGAGAGGCACACGCGGACGAAGGCGGCTACTCCAAGGAGACCGCGCAACAGCAGACTCAGAACCCTCAGTGCCAGCACCCGCAGTAGCTCCAGAACCTCCAGCGCCAGCACCCTCAGCCGCTCCACAACTTCCAGCTCCAGCGCCACCAGCGCCAGCACCTCCAGCAGCTCCAGAAACTCCAGCTCCAGCACCCTCAGCAGCTCCAAAACTTCCAGCAGAATCACCTCCAGTAGCAGAGTCACCAGCTCTAGCGCCTCCCGCAGCAGGGCCCCTAGCTCTAGCAGCGTGACCCTGACGGCCAACGTACCACTCACGCAGCTGCTGTGGGAAGAGAGGGAGTCGACGACGAGAGTGCAGCGGCGAGGTACCAGCGGAGAGACTACGGAGACGGCCGCTCCAGGGAGACTGCTCACCAGACGCCTCAGCGCCCCCAGGTGCAACACCCCCAGACTCAGTAACCCCCGGCTCATCACCCCCAGACTCCTCACGCCCAGGCTCAGCACCTCCAGTCTCCGCACCCCTAGGCTCCGCTCCTCCAGGCTCCGCACCCCCAGGCTCAGCACCCCCAGGCTCCGCACCCCTAGGCTCAGCACCCCCTGAAGCAGCACCCCGAGCAGGGCCACTCTCAGCAGGACCTGAGTCACCAGTGACCTCAACCGGGGCAGTCAAGGGAGGTGGGTCTACCTGAGACACACCTGAAGGAGCAGGACCGGGAGCGGGGAGGGGGTCTACCTGGGGAGCACCTGGAGCGAGGAAGAGCGACGGGGGGGGGGGGGAGAGGGGCAATGCGGTAAGGGAAGAGACGGTAAAAGGGAACCGACTCGTCGAACGTGACGTCCTGAGAGGGAAAGACACGGCGCGAGGTGGGGTGGTAAAACTGCCAACCCGGCGCGTTAGGGACAAAGCCAAGGAAGACACAGGGAATAGTGCGGGCGGAGAGCTTATCCGTGGTGGTATCGCGGACAAAGGCACGAGCACCCCAGACCCGGAAACGCGACGCATCGCCAACCTTCCCCGTCCACAGCAGTGTGGGCGAGGTCTCCGGCAAGGAGACACGGGGCCAGAGGTTGAGCTGATGCGCAGCGTACCGGACCGCAAACGGCCACAGAAAATGGGGGGCAGCCGCATGGATCATGGAGGTACGAGCGACCTCCATGACTAAGCCTATGCGGCGCTCACTAACCCCATTCTACTGCGGAGAGGCCGGAAGCGTGAACGTCTCGCGGATGCCGTGCTCCGCACAAAAGGCTGCCAAGAGGGCTGAGGAGAACTCACCACCTCTGTCAGAGTGCAGACGCAGGTCTGGAAAGTCCGACTGGAAATGCTTGCGGAGCTGGAGACGAACAGCGCGGATCCAGGGGATCGAAACATCAGGGACCTCCCCCTTGCGCTGCAAGGGGAAGACCGTGGTATAACGCGTGTAGTCGTCGACGACCAGCAGGAAGTACCGCTCGTGGCCCTGTCCACGGACGCGGGCTGGGCCCCACACGTCCAGGTGGAGAGTCTGTAGAGGAGCCTCTATGGGAGGGAACAAGGAGGTGTGAGGAGCGGTGCGCTGCCGCCCGTCGACACACGGAAGACATGGAGGAGAAGGCAAGGGTGGGAGGGGAGGGAGTACCCCGGGAAGACCAGAGACAAGGTAACGGGAGTGCATGCTACGAAGGCACTGCATCAAAGGGTGACCAAGGCGGTGGTGCCAAAGGACCGTCCGGTGCGACAAGGTGCGACAGGGTGGGAGAAGGGAGCCGACAACTGACCTGACGTAGACGCAGGCGCAGCTACCTGAGGGGAC